ACACACACACCACACACCACACACACACCACACACACCACACACACACACATCACACACACCACACACACACCACACACACACCACACACACACACCGAGACGGTGCGCTCCTGTACCTCACAATCCTGTGCCTTCGTGCTCGCCATGCAGAACCCCGAGTCCAGCGTGAGACCACTCACACTCTATACTCACACTACACACACAGTCACACCACACACACACTACACAGACACACACAACACACACACACACCACACACACCACACACACCACACACACACACACACACTCACATAGACACACACACACACACACATCACACACACACACCACACACACACACTCACACAGTCACACACACACACACCACACACACACACCACACACACCACACACACACACCGAGACGGTGCGCTCCTGTACCTCACAATCCTGTGCCTTCGTGCTCGCCATGCAGAACCCCGAGTCCAGTGTGAGGGCACTCACACACACTCACAACACACACACAGACACACTCACACACCACACACACACACATCACACACACACAACACACACTCACACAGTCACACACACACACACCACACACACCACACACACACCACACACACCACACACACACACCACACACACCACACACACCACACACACACCACACACACACACCACACCACACACACCACACACAACACACCACACACACACCGAGACGGTGCGCTCCTGTACCTCACAATCCTGTGCCTTCGTGCTCGCCATGCAGAACCCCGAGTCCAGTGTGAGAACACTCACACCCATCACACACACACACACAGTCACACACACACACTCACACACTATACACACAACACACACGCATCACACACACACTCACACACACTCACACCCAGTCACATAGACACACACACACTCACATAGACACACACACCACACACACACCACACACTCTCACCGAGACGGTGCGCTCCTGTACCTCACAGTCCTGTGCCTTTGTGCTCGCCATGCAAAACCCCGAGTCTAGCGTGAGAGCACTCACACACATCACACACACACACACTCACACACACACACACATAGACACCACACATACACCACACACACCACACACACACACTATACACACACACACTCACATAGACACACACACACACTATACACACACACACACACCACACACACCACACACACCACCGACACACACTATACACACACACACACCACACACACACACTATACACACACACAGTCACACACACACCACACACACACACACACACCGAGACGGTGCGCTCCTGTACCTCACAATCCTGTGCCTTCGTGCTCGCCATGCAGAACCCCGAGTCCAGCGTGAGAACACTCACACACTATACTCACACTACACACATACACACTCACACTACACACACACACTCACATAGACACACACACACACACAACACACACATACACAGTCACACACACACTCACACTACACACACACACCACACACACACTACACACACACTCACACACTATACACACACACCACACACAGCACTCACACACTCACATAGTCACACACACACACACCACACACACACCACACACTCACACACACACACCACACACACTCACACACACACACCGAGACGGTGCGCTCCTGTACCTCACAATCCTGTGCCTTCGTGCTCGCCATGCAGAACCCCGAGTCCAGCATGAGGGCACACACACTACACACAACACACACAGTCACACACACTACACACAACACACACTCACCACACACACACACACTCACCACACTCTCACCGAGACGGTGCGCTCCTGTACCTCACAATCCTGTGCCTTCGTGCTCGCCATGCAGAACCCCGAGTCCAGCGTGAGATCACTCGCACACACAACACACACACAGTCACACACACACCACACACACCACACACACACACATCACACACACCACACACACACCACACACACACCACACACACACACCGAGACGGTGCGCTCCTGTACCTCACAATCCTGTGCCTTCGTGCTCGCCATGCAGAACCCCGAGTCCAGTGTGAGAGCACTCACAACACACTCACACACTCACACACAGTCACACACACACACACACCACACTCACACACACACTCACATAGACACTCACACACACACAATACACACACAACACACACACACCCAGTCACACACACTCACATAGACACACACACACACACTCACATAGACACACACACAACACACAACACACTCACACACTCACACACACCACACACACACACACCACACACACACACCACACACACACACACCACACACACACACCACACACACACACACTCACATAGACACACAACACACACCGCACACACACACTCACCACACACCACACACACACCACACACACACTCACACACACACACCGAGACGGTGCGCTCCTGTACCTCACAATCCTGTGCCTTCGTGCTCGCCATGCAGAACCCCGAGTCTAGTGTGAGGGCACTCACACGCATCACACACACACACACCCAGTCACACACACACACACCACACACCCAGTCACACACACACACACCACACACACACCACACACACACACTCACACACCACACACCCCACACACACACACACTATACACACACCACACACACACTCACACACACACACACCACACACACCACACACACCACACACACACACTATACACACACACACACCACACACACACACTATACACACACACACCACACACACCACACACACACACCACACACACACACACTACACACACACCACACACACCACACACACACACCACACACACACACTACACACACACCACACACACACACTCACACACCACACACCCCACACACACTATACACACACCACACACACACCACACGCATCACACACAGTCACAACACACACACACATCACACATACACTCACACACACTCACATAGACACACACACACACCACACACACACACACAACACACCCACTCACACACTATACACACACACATCACACACACACACAGTCACACACACACACACACCCAGTCACACACCACACACACACACATCACACACACCACACACACACACACCACACACACACACCACACACGCACAACACACTCACACCCAGTCACATAGACACACACACACACTCACCACACACACCACACACACACACACCACACACACACACTCACCACACACACCACACACACACCCACCACACACACCACACACCACACACACTCACTCACGCACCACACACACACACCACACACACACCACACACACCACACATAGAAACACACCACACACACACCACACACACCACACATAGACACACACACACTCACACACACACACCACACACACAACACGCACACACACCACACCACACACACCACACCACACACACTATACACACACACCACACACACTCACTCACGCACCACACACACACACCACACACACCACACACACACACCACCCACACACACCACACACACACACGCATCACACACACACAACACACACCACACACACAAACCACACACACACACAACACATACACACCACACACACACACTACACACACACACTCACACACACTCCACCCAGTCACATAGACACACACACACCACACACACACACACATCACACACACACACATCACACACACACACCACACACACCACACACACCACACACACCACACACACCACACACACACCACACACGCATCACACACACACAAACCACACACACACACAACACATACACACCACACACACACACACACGCACACACACTCCACCCAGTCACATAGACACACACACACCACACACACACACATCACACACACACACATCACACACACCACACACACACATCACACACACACACATCACACACATCACACACACACACACACACACCACACACACACATCACACACACACACATCACACACACACACATCACACACACACACATCACACACACCACACACACACATCACACACACACACACACCACACACACATCCCATGTCTCCCCCCCTCCCACCCCCGTCAGTTTCTCCCTCCGCCCCCCCTCCCCGTGTCTCTCTCCCCGTGTCTCACTCCCCGTGTCTCACTCCCCGTGTCTCTCTCCCCGTGTCTCTCTCCCCGTGTCTCACTCCCCGTGTCTCTCTCCCCGTGTCTCCCTTCCCCCTAGACTGCCGAGCGCCTGGAACTGTTCCGTGAGGCGTCTGAGAGGCACCAGCTCATGTACCGGCTGGCTATGACCGGCTCCGGCATCGATCGCCACCTCTTCTGCCTCTACGTGGTCTCCAGGTACCTGGGGGAGGAGTCTCCGTTCTTACAGAAGGTGAGTGTCTCCGGGTGCCTCTCCCCGTGTCTCTCTCCGTGTCTCCCCGTGTCTCTCTCCATGTCTCCCTGTGTCTCCCCGTGTCTCTCCCCGTGTCTCTCCCCGTGTCTCTCTCCGTGTCTCTCTCCGTGTCTCCGTGTCTCCCCGTGTCTCTCTCCGTGTCTCTCTCCGTGTCTCCCTGTGTCTCCCCGTGTCTCTCTCCGTGTCGCCCCGTGTCTCCCTGTGTCTCCCCGTGTCTCCCTGTGTCTCCCTGTGTCTCCCTGTGTTTCCCCGTGAGTCTCTCCGTGTCTCCCTGTGTCTCCCAGGGAGTCTGTGTGTCTCCCCGTGTCTCCCCGTGTCTTCCTGGTATACTTGAGAAAGACTCTCCCCTTGTCCCACCCACGTCTCCTCGTACTCCTTCCTCCCCTCGTGTCTCCCTGTGTCTCCCTGTGTCTCCCCGTGTCTCCCTGTGTCTCCCTGTGTCTTCCTGTGTCTTTCTGTGTCTCCCCGTGAGTCTCTCCTTGTCTCCCTGGGAGTCTGTGTGTCTCTCCGTGTCTCCCTGTGTCTCCCTCTGTCTCCCTGTGTCTCCCTGTGTCTCCCTGTGTCTCAGTGTCTCCCCGTGTCTCCCTGTGTCTCCCTGTGTCTCCCCGTGAGTCTCTCCCCTTGTCCCACCCACGTCTCATCGTACTCCTTCCCCCCCCCCCCGTGTCTCCCTGTGTCTCCCCGTGTCTCCCTGTGTCTCCCGTGAGTCTCTCCGTGTCTCCCTGTGTCTCAGTGTCTCCCTGTGTCTCCCTGAGTCTCCCCGTGAGTCTCCCCGTGAGTCTCCCTGTCTCTCCCTGTGTCTCCCCGTGAGTCTCCCCGTGTCTCCCCGTGTCTCCCCGTGTCTTCCCGTGTCTCCCTGTGTCTCCCTGTGTCTCCCTGTGTCTCCCTGTGTCTCCCCGTGAGTCTCCCCGTGTCTCCCCGTGTCTCCCCGTGTCTTCCCGTGTCTCCCTGTGTCTCCCTGTGTCTCCCTGTGTCTCCCTGTGTCTCCCCGTGAGTCTCCCCGTGTCTCCCCGTGTCTCCCCGTGTCTCCCCGTGTCTCCCTGTGTCTCCCTGTGTCTCCCTGTGTCTCCCGTGAGTTTCTCCGTGTCACCCTGTGTCTCAGTGTCCTCCCTGTGTCTCCCTGTGTCTCACCGTGAGTCTCTCCGTGTCTCCCTGTGTCTCCCTGTGTCTCCCAGGGAGTCTGTGTGTCTCCCCGTGTCTCCCCGTGTCTCCCCGTGTGTCCCTGTGTGTCCCTGTGTCTCCCCGTGTCTCCTCGTGTCTCCCTGTGTCTCCCCGTGAGTCTCTCCGTGTCTCCCCGTGTCTCCCTGTGTCTCCCTGTGTCTCCCTGTGTCTCCCTGTGTCACCCTGTGTCTCAGTGTCTCCCTGTGTCTCCCTGTGTCACCCTGTGTCTCAGTGTCTCCCTGTGTCTCCCCGTGTCTCCCCGTGAGTCTCTCCCCTTGTCCCACCCACGTCTCATCGTACTCCTTCCCCCCCCCCGTGTCTCCCCCCCCCCCCGTGTCTCTCCCCCCCCCCCCCGTGTCTCTCCCCCCCCCCGTGTCTCTCCCCACCCCCCCGTGTCTCTCCCCCCCCCCACCCCGTGTCTCTGCAGGTGCTGTCGGAGCCGTGGCGTCTGTCGACGAGCCAGACGCCACAGCAGCACGTGGAGCTGTTTGACCTGGCACGCTTCCCTCGCCACCAGTCCTCGGGGGGAGGCTTCGGGCCTGTGAGAGACTCACAGAGACTCACACAGAGACTCACACAGAGACTCACACAGAGACTCACTCAGAGACTCACGCAGAGACTCACACAGAGACTCGCACAGAGACTCACACAGAGACTCACACAGAGACTCACTCAGAGACTCACACAGAGACTCACACAGAGACTCACTCAGAGACTCACAGCACGTGGAGCTGTTTGACCTGGCACGCTTCCCTCGCCACCAGTCCTCGGGGGGAGGCTTCGGGCCTGTGAGAGACTCACTAAGACTCACTCAGAGACTCACACAGAGACTCACAGAGAGACTCACAGCACGTGGAGCTGTTTGACCTGGCACGCTTCCCTCGCCACCAGTCCTCGGGGGGAGGCTTCGGGCCTGTGAGAGACTCACTCAGACTCACTGAGACTCACTCAGAGACTCACTCAGAGACTCACTCAGAGACTCACACAGAGACTCACAGCACGTGGAGCTGTTTGACCTGGCACGCTTCCCTCGCCACCAGTCCTCGGGGGGAGGCTTCGGGCCTGTGAGAGACTCACTAAGACTCACACAGAGACTCACTCAGAGACTCACTCAGAGACTCACACAGAGACTCACACAGAGACTCACACAGGGACTCACACAGAGACTCACTCAGAGACTCACTCAGAGACTCACAGAGAGACTCACAGAGACTCACTCAGACTCACTCAGAGACTCACTCAGAGACTCACACAGAGACTCACAGAGAGACTCACACAGAGACTCACTCAGAGACTCACTCAGAGACTCACACCACGTGGAGCTGTTTGACCTGGCACGCTTCCCTCGCCACCAGTCCTCGGGGGGAGGCTTCGGGCCTGTGAGAGACTCACAGAGACTCACTCAGACTCACTCAGAGACTCACTCAGAGACTCACACAGAGACTCACACAGAGACTCACTCAGAGACTCACTCAGAGACTCACAGAGAGACTCACTCAGACTCACACAGAGACTCACAGAGACTCACACAGAGACTCACAGAGAGACTCACACAGAGACTCACACAGAGACTCACACAGAGACTCACTCAGAGACTCACACAGAGACTCACACAGAGACTCACACAGAGACTCACACAGAGACTCACACAGAGACTCACAGGGACTCACACAGAGACTCACAGCACGTGGAGCTGTTTGACCTGGCACGCTTCCCTCGCCACCAGTCCTCGGGGGGAGGCTTCGGGCCTGTGAGAGACTCACAGAGACTCACTCAGACTCACTCAGAGACTCACTCAGAGACTCACACAGAGACTCACACAGAGACTCACTCAGAGACTCACTCAGAGACTCACACAGAGACTCACTCAGAGACTCACACCACGTGGAGCTGTTTGACCTGGCACGCTTCCCTCGCCACCAGTCCTCGGGGGGAGGCTTCGGGCCTGTGAGAGACTCACTCAGAGACTCACTCAGAGACTCACACAGAGACTCACACAGAGACTCACACAGAGACTCACTCAGAGACTCACAGCACGTGGAGCTGTTTGACCTGGCACGCTTCCCTCGCCACCAGTCCTCGGGGGGAGGCTTCGGGCCTGTGAGAGACTCACTCAGAGACTCACTCAGACTCACACAGAGACTCACACAGAGACTCACAGAGAGACTCACGTGGACTCACAGCACGTGGAGCTGTTTGACCTGGCACGCTTCCCTCGCCACCAGTCCTCGGGGGGAGGCTTCGGGCCTGTGAGAGACTCACTAAGACTCACTAAGACTCACTGAGACTCACTCAGAGACTCACTCAGAGACTCACACAGAGACTCACAGAGACTCACACAGAGACTCACAGAGAGACTCACACAGAGACTCACTCAGAGACTCACACAGAGACTCACACAGAGACTCACACAGAGACTCACACAGAGACTCACACAGAGACTCACTCAGAGACTCACACCACGTGGAGCAGTTTGACCTGGCACGCTTCCCTCGCCACCAGTCCTCGGGGGGAGGCTTCGGGCCTGTGAGAGACTCACTAAGACTCACTAAGACTCACTGAGACTCACTCAGAGACTCACTCAGAGACTCACACAGAGACTCACAGAGACTCACACAGAGACTCACAGAGAGACTCACACAGAGACTCACTCAGAGACTCACACAGAGACTCACACAGAGACTCACACAGAGACTCACACAGAGACTCACACAGAGACTCACTCAGAGACTCACTCAGAGACTCACTCAGAGACTCACAGAGACTCACACAGAGACTCACAGAGAGACTCACAGAGAGACTCACACAGAGACTCACTCAGACTCACTCAGAGACTCACTCAGAGACTCACTCAGAGACTCACAGAGACTCACACAGAGACTCACGTGGACTCACAGCACGTGGAGCTGTTTGACCTGGCACGCTTCCCTCGCCACCAGTCCTCGGGGGGAGGCTTCGGGCCTGTGAGAGACTCACAGAGACTCACACAGAGACTCACTCAGAGACTCACACAGAGACTCACACAGAGACTCACTCAGAGACTCACAGCACGTGGAGCTGTTTGACCTGGCACGCTTCCCTCGCCACCAGTCCTCGGGGGGAGGCTTCGGGCCTGTGAGAGACTCACTCAGAGACTCACTCAGAGACTTACAGAGACTCACACAGAGACTCACACAGAGACTCACTCAGAGACTCACACAGAGACTCACAGCACGTGGAGCTGTTTGACCTGGCACGCTTCCCTCGCCACCAGTCCTCGGGGGGAGGCTTCGGGCCTGTGAGAGACTCACAGAGACTCACACAGAGACTCACTCAGAGACTCACTCAGAGACTCACTCAGAGACTCACTCAGAGACTCACTCAGAGACTCACTCAGAGACTCACTCAGAGACTCACACAGAGACTCACTCAGAGACTCACACCACGTGGAGCTGTTTGACCTGGCACGCTTCCCTCGCCACCAGTCCTCGGGGGGAGGCTTCGGGCCTGTGAGAGACTCACAGAGACTCACACAGAGACTCACTCAGAGACTCACACAGAGACTCACACAGAGACTCACTCAGAGACTCACAGCACGTGGAGCTGTTTGACCTGGCACGCTTCCCTCGCCACCAGTCCTCCGGGGGAGGCTTCGGGCCTGTGAGAGACTCACACTCACTAAGACTCACTCAGACTCACTCAGAGACTCACTCAGAGACTCACAGAGAGACTCACTCAGAAACTCACACAGAGACTCACACAGAGACTCACTCAGAGACTCACACAGAGACTCACTCAGAGACTCACTCAGAGACTCACTCAGAGACTCACACAGAGACTCACACAGAGACTCACACAGAGACTCACACAGAGACTCACAGAGAGACTCACACAGAGACTCACACAGAGACTCACACAGAGACTCACAGCACGTGGAGCTGTTTGACCTGGCACGCTTCCCTCGCCACCAGTCCTCCGGGGGAGACTTCGGGCCTGTGAGAGACTCACAGAGACTCACAGAGAGACTCACTCAGAGACTCACAGAGAGACTCACTCAGAGACTCACACAGAGACTCACACAGAGACTCACACAGAGACTCACTCAGAGACTCACACAGAGACTCACACAGAGACTCACACAGAGACTCACACAGAGACTCACACAGAGACTCACACAGAGACTCACAGCACGTGGAGCTGTTTGACCTGGCACGCTTCCCTCGCCACCAGTCCTCGGGGGGAGGCTTCGGGCCTGTGAGAGACTCACTCAGACTCACTGAGACTCACTCAGAGACTCACTCAGAGACTCACTCAGAGACTCACACAGAGACTCACTCAGAGACTCACACAGAGACTCACACAGAGACTCACTCAGAGACTCACTCAGAGACTCACACAGAGCCTCACACAGAGACTCACACAGAGACTCACACAGAGACTCACTTGGACTCACAGCACGTGGAGCTGTTTGACCTGGCACGCTTCCCTCGCCACCAGTCCTCGGGGGGAGGCTTCGGGCCTGTGAGAGACTCACTCAGAGACTCACTCAGACTCACACAGAGACTCACACAGAGACTCACTCAGAGACTCACTCAGAGACTCACTCAGACTCACACAGAGACTCACACAGAGACTCACACAGAGCCTCACACAGAGACTCACACAGAGCCTCACACAGAGACTCACACAGAGCCTCACACAGAGACTCACTTGGACTCACAGCACGTGGAGCTGTTTGACCTGGCACGCTTCCCTCGCCACCAGTCCTCGGGGGGAGGCTTCGGGCCTGTGAGACACTCACAGACTCACACAGAGACTTACAGAGACTCACAGAGAGACTCACACAGAGACTCACGCAGAGACTCACGCAGAGACTCACACAGAGACTCACTCAGAGACTCACTCAGAGACTCACTCAGAGACTCACTAAGACTCACACAGAGACTCACTCAGAGACTCACTCAGACTCACACAGAAACTCACACAGAGACTCACTCAGAGACTCACACAGAGACTCACACAGAGACTCACTCAGAGACTCACTCAGAGACTCACACAGAGACTCACACAGAGACTCACAGGGACTCACACAGAGACTCACAGCACGTGGAGCTGTTTGACCTGGCACGCTTCCCTCGCCACCAGTCCTCGGGGGGAGGCTTCGGGCCTGTGAGACTCACTCAGAGACTCACAGAGAGACTCACTCAGACTCACAGAGAGACTCACACAGAGACTCACACAGAGACTCACACAGAGACTCGCACAGAGACTCACTCAGAGACTCACTCAGACTCACTCAGAGACTCACTCAGACTCACTCAGAGACTCACTCAGAGACTCACACAGAGACTCACTCAGAGACTCACACAGAGACTCACTCAGAGACTCACTCAGAGACTCACTCAGAGACTCACACAGAGACTCACTCAGAGACTCACACAGAGACTCACTCAGAGACTCACACCACGTGGAGCTGTTTGACCTGGCACGCTTCCCTCGCCACCAGTCCTCGGGGGGAGGCTTCGGGCCTGTGAGTCACACTCAGACTCACACAGAGACTCA